ACAGGGGTCACCGCTGGCGGGGCAGAGGACAGGGGTCACCGCTGGCGGGGCAGAGGACAGGGGTCACCGCTGGCGGGGCAGAGGACAGGGGTCACCGCTGGTGGGGCAGAGGACAGGGGTCACCGCTGGCGGGGCATAGGACAGGGGTCACCGCTGGCGGGGCAGACAGGACAGGGGTCACCACTGGCGGGGCAGAGGACAGGGGTCACCGCTGGCAGGATAGGGGTCAACACACTGTCTCCATGGAGTTTGCATGTTCTCCCTGTGCACTTGCTGCTTGCTTCCTGCACTCCAAAGGGCCCTTAGATTGTAAGCTCCTGGTGGATAGTGACGGTTTTCCCTTATTTACCTTTTAGTGACAGTGACCCTCTGAAGGGTTCCTCTACGGTGGAAAGGTTGAGGAAAGCCATTCTAATCACTAGACCAGCAGTCTCCAAACTGCGGCCCTTTGCTCACTATTTAATCTGGCCCTTGGGGCACTATTCCTCCCACTGACACCTATGATGGGGCACTATTCTTCCCACTGACACCAATGATGGGGCACTATTCCTCCCACTGACACCAATGATGGGCACTATTCCTCCCACTGACACCAATGATGGGGCACTATTCCTCCCACTGACACCAATGATGGGGCACTATTCCTCCCACTGACACCAATGATGGGGCGCTATTCCTCCCACTGACACCAATGATGGGGCACTATTCCTCCCACTGACACCAATGATGGGACACTATTCATCCCACTGATACCAATGATGGGGCACTATTCCTCCCACTGACACCAATGATGGGCACTATTCCTCCCACTGACACCAATGATGGGGCACTATTCCTCCCACTGACACCAATGATGGGGCACTATTCCTCCCACTGACACCAATGATGGGGCACTATTCCTCCCACTGACACCAATGATGGGGCACTATTCCTCCCACTGACACCAATGATGGGGCACTATTCCTCCCACTGACACCAATGATGGGGCACTATTCCTCCCACTGACACCAATGATGGGGCACTATTCCTCCCACTGACACCAATGATGGGACACTATTCCTCCCACTGATACCAATGATGGGGCACTATTCCTCCCACTGACACCAATGATAGGGCACTATTCCTCCCACTGACACCAATGATGGGGCACTATTCCTCCCACTGACACCAATGATGGGACACTATTCCTCCCACTGATACCAATGATGGGGCACTATTCCTCCCACTGACACCAATGATGGGGCACTATTCCTCCCACTGACACCAATGATGGGCACTATTCCTCCCACTGACACCAATGATGGGGCACTATTCCTCCCCCTGACACCAATGATGGGACACTATTCCTCCCAGTGATACCAATGATGGGGCACTATTCCTCCCCCTGACACCAATGATGGGGCACTATTCCTCCCACTGACACCAATGATGGGGCACTATTCCTCCCCACTGACACCAATGATGGGGCACTATTCTTCCCACTGACACCAATGATGGGGCACTATTCCACCCACTGACACCAATGATGGGGCACTATTCTTCCCACTGACACCAATGATGGGGCACTATTCCTTCCACTGACACCAATGATGGGGCACTATTCCTCCCACTGATACCAATGATGGGGCACTATTCCTCCCACTGACACCAATGATGGGGCACTATTCCTCCCACTGACACCAATGATGGGACACTATTCCTCCCACTGACACCAATGATGGGGCACTATTCCCCCCACTGACACCAATGATGGGGCACTATTCCTCCACTGACACCAATGATGGGGCACTATTCCTCCACTGACACCAATGATGGGGCACTATTCCTCCATATGACACCCAACTATGGGTCGCAATTTCTCCCGGTGACACCAACTATGGGGCCCAATGACACCGTTGGTGGGGCATAATGCCTCCCACTGACACCAAAGAGGAGTTATTGTTTTGCCCCACTGACATCGGGACCTTTTCTACTCTCAAAGGTCACAGTCCGGCTCCCCTAAAGTCTGAAGGACAGTAAACTGGCCCTTTGTCTAGAAAGTTTAGAGACCCCTGCCCTAGAATGTAGAATGATCCCTGGTGATCCTGCCATGAAGGCCTTTGTTGCAGCAATCATTGTTTCAGGGTGACAACGCTCAGTCCCTGTCTCCCAATTGTACTCTTGGGTTGTCACCCGGTCTGAAGGAGCCTACACACAGTCTTTTGAAAACACATCCCACAGACATGGTCCACTGTTGTCACCATCAGGGAACCCGTCCTGAGAAATGCCATGGGGCCATCACTGGGGATGGGGGGAATGGAGACAGGAAGTGGCTGCAAAGAGGCTGCAGGAGATCCAACAAAAGGAGGAAAAATGTAACAATAGACGGCGCGGAGAGCGAACCAAGCGTCCGCCATTTGGGGTTTCCATCTACCGCAGACCTGTGCGGGGCGTTCGCTCACCCCAGACCTCACCCACCGCTGCAGGTGGGGCGAGACGCTGTGCAGCAGATGCAGCTCTTGCGGTTCCCTAGGTAACAGAACACCATTGAGCCGATGACAAGTTATGAGGGAGAAGCGGCGACATCTTGACACAGATGCAGAGAAAGGAGAGCCCCGCCTCACCCACAGCGATTACTGCGACCGCGTCCCAGACGCTGCAATATTTCCAGACCGCAAGCCGCCGGGACGATCCGGGGTGCAGCTTCATGATCACCCGATACAGAACCAGAGGGAAGGAAAAAAACAAAAATAATACCCAGAGAGGCAAAATTCTCATCATAGTAGGACTAAGGATCCTCTCCAGGATCTGAAAGCAGGCGGCCAGTGAAGTCAGCGCATAGCTGGACATATCTGCATCATTGTCCGGGAACCCTGGAATTCAGGCCTTTCTAATATGCAAATCTCAACTTCAGCTCTGACCCGCCCACCCCTTGCTATTGGTTGGCGAAGCTGCCCATCACTGGGAGCCCAACCTCCTCTAATGAATGGAGAATCCCAGGGAGTCTGTGCAGATACAGGACATGTGCAGGCTCTTGTAGTAACCTTTCTTCAAAACCCGGCTTGTGTGACAGGTTCACTTTAAGAATCGCGGGGAGTTACCACGTCATACATGTAGATCCCACGTCACACATGTAGATTCCTGAGTCACACATGCAGATCCCACGTCACACATGCAGATCCCACGTCACACATGCAGATCCCACGTCACACATGCAGATCCTGACGTCACACATGCAGATCCCACGTCACACATGCAGATCCCACGTCACACATGCAGATCCCACGTCACACATGTAGATTCCTGAGTCACACATGCAGATCCCACGTCACACATACAGATTCCTGAGTCACACATGCAGATCCCACGTCACACATGTAGATTCCTGTGTCACACATGCAGATCCCACGTCACACATGCAGATCCTGACGTCACACATCCCACGTCACACATGCAGATCCCACGTCACACATGTAGATTCCTGAGTCACACATGCAGATCCCACGTCACACATGTAGATTCCTGAGTCACACATGTAGATCCCACGTCACACATGCAGATCCCACGTCACACATACAGATTCCTGAGTCACACATGCAGATCCCACGTCACACATGCAGTCACACATAGATCCCATGTCATACATGTAGATTCCTACGTCACACATGCAGATCCCACGTCACATGTAGATTCCCGAGTCACACATGCATATCCCACATCACACATGCAGATCCCACGTCATACATGTAGATTCCTGAGTCACACATGCAGATCCCACGTCATACATGTAGATTCCTGAGTCACACATGCAGATCCCACGTCATACATGTAGATTCCTGAGTCACACATGCAGATCCCACGTCATACATGCAGAGATCTGAAGACAAGACTGTTTGTTTTTTTTTTTAAACTTTTGGATGGAGTAGGGAGGGGTTAGGGCCGGACATAAGTAGAGGCACCCGCCATAGGTGCTGTGCTGAGAGGGGGCACAGCTGGGGGGGCCTCACCTGCCTTCCATTTCCCACACAGGACTGAGATACCAAGATGGTGGGGGGTGTAAAATACAGAGATTTTGGGTGCAGAATGCATGCGAGGAGGTGCAGAATACACCAGGGGAGTGCAGATTACACTGAGGGGGGGGGTACAGATTACACTGAGGGGGGGGGGGTTGGGGGTACAGCATTACACTGGAAGAGGGTGCAGACTACACTAGGGAATGCAGATTACACTGGACGGGGGGGGGGGGGGTTGGGGGTATGCAGATTACATTGGGAATGCAGATTACACGGGGAGGGTGCAGATCAGCCATGCCCCCCCCCCCCTGCAGTTACTTGGCCCAATGGGCCCTCCATAGCAGTACCCGGGTGACCATCGGTGGGGCCGCACACATTGTGCATCATGTATGGAGTGTATGGGATTCATGGATGACAGACTGACAGGGAGAGGAAACGTTCTGCCACTTCCTGCGAGAAGATCGGGACTCAGAAATCCTCTCCAAGGATCCCCCCCCCCCCTGCCCCCCCACTTATATTAACCCTTTTAAAGCAGAACTCCGTGCCGGTTGCTCTTTGCACCGGACCCGCCCAGAACTCATCTGGACCCTCCATCTATCAGAATGGGAACATGGGAGATTTATCATTTTTTTGCACATAAGTAAAGCCTTTGGATCTTCACATCCACAAGCTGTGGCCCCCGGCCGGGCCCTCAGACTCACACCTCCCAGATCAGAACTCAGAGACAAGGACAGCGAGGATGGGAGCGCTGACATCCGTATGTAGTGACGCCGATCTCACTGACGCCAGTTGCTAGGATCCCGTATAGCCGCTTCACCTTGACGCCGGAGACTGCAAACACCGAGACGTTCCGGAGAGAGAACCCTGAGAGAGCAGCACCCCCCCCCCCCCCCCCAGTGTGCAGTGACATCACAGCAAGCCATTTCAGTCCAGGAGAGGAGCCGTACACCTGTGCAAGACTGAAGGGGAGGAGCCGGTACACCTGGTGCAGACTGAAGGGGAGGAAAGCCGGTACACCTGTGCAAGACTGAAGGGGAGGAGCCGGTACACCTGTGCAAGACTGAAGAGGAGGAGCCGGTACAACCTGTGCAAGACTGAAGGGGAGGAGCCGGTACACCTGTGCAAGACTGAAAGGGGAGGAGCCGGTACACCTGTGCAAGACTGAAGGGGAGGAGCCCCGCTACACCTGAACTTGCAACACTGAAGAGGAGGAGCGGTGACACCTGTGCAATCTCACTGAAGGGGAGGAGCCGCTTACACACGCCGGAGTGCAAAGACCTGAGAGGGGAGAGAGCCGAGAGAGCACAGCCCCCCCCCCCCCCCAGTGTGCAAGACTGCCCAAGTCCAGGGAGGAGCCGGTACACCTGTGCAAGACTGAAGGGGAGGAGCCGGTACACCTGTGCAAGACTGGAGGGGAGGAGCCGTACACCTGTGCAAGACTGGGGGAGGAGCCGGTACACCTGTGCAAGACTGAAGGGGAGGAGCCGGTACACATCTGTGCAAGACTGAAGGGGAGGAGCCGGTACACCTGTGCAAGACTGAAGGGGAGGAGCGGGTACACCTGTGCAAGACTGGAGGGGAGGAGCCGGTACACCTGTGCAAGACTGAAGGGGAGGAGCCGCTACACCTGTGCAAGACCGGAGGGGAGGAGCCGGTACACCTGTGCAAGACTGAAGGGGAGGAGCCGGTACACCTGTGCAAGACTGAAGGGGAGGAGCCGGTACACCTGTGCAAGACTGAAGGGGAGGAGCCGGTACACCTGTGCAAGACTGGAGGGGAGGAGCCGGCTACACCTGTGCAAGACTGAAGGGGAGGAGCCGCTAGTACACCTGTGCAAGACTGGAGGGGAGGAGCCGCTAGTACCTGTGCAAGACTGAAGGGGAGGAGCCGGTACACCTGTGCAAGACTGAAGGGGAGGAGCCGGTACACCTGTGCAAGACTGAAGGGGAGGAGCCGGTACACCTGTGCAAGACTGAAGGGGAGGAGCCGGTACACCTGTGCCAGACTGAAGGGGAGGTGGGGGAGGGGTGGGGTCAGATTTAATATACATTAATGAGGTGTCCCAATATAAAACATGTAATAACAGTAGAATGACATATTGGGTAACGAGGAAAGGGGGGGGGGGGGACATTTATTAGATATGAAGCGCGGTGCCAGCCAGACGCGGAGGGAAATGCTGCGCAATGCTGATCGCTTTACGGAGGGTTGGATTCGGACTCCTATCACCGATCCAATTATAATCGATAACACGCCCCGTCTGAGCGCTTCGCATCAGAAACAAAACTGACAACGATTAGGAATCATCGGAACTGGAAACCCAATAAACGGAGAGATCTCTGAGAAAACAAAAAACGTATCCAATCCCCGAGTCATGCGATCTGTTTTGGGGCTCATTCACACCAGGTGTAATCCCAGAACGCACAATGTGGGCGCAATGGCGAATTATCCCACGCCGCACAAAAACGCGACTCATGCGGGTGCCATTAACTCTTAAAGAGCACTTCACACATCTAACAAACGTGCCTTCGTCTGCGTCCACAAGAACCGCAGTACCGCGCATTTTGGAGTGGCGCAGTTTTAGAAGTCACGCCGGCACTTTATTGACATATTTCTCACTCATAGGGAAGTCCATTGAAATGAATGGGCTGCCCTAAAACGCAGCATGCGGTAAAGCATAAAAAAAAGCGCACACTCAGATGCCCCTCCTGGTGTGAATGAGCCCTAAATGGGAGTGGCCAGTCATATATATAGATATATCCCTTCCCTCTCACAGAGATCACAGGGCCCCCCTGACAAGGTCATCTACTTTTCTCTCCAGAAGGACGGTGCCATCTCTGTTCAGACATCATCCAGGGTCACCATCTACTTCCGGGACTAAGATGGCGGCTCAGAGATGACACCATCAAGTGATTCCTGCTGGCTGTGTTCACAAATGCCTGACTCAGATCAGCCCCTGACTGCAGCCTCTCACCTTGATACAAAGCTACAATGAAGCAGATGAAGGCACCGGGTCTTCCCTGAGCCGGCATCTCAGTCCGGTAAGTAGACGGTGACCTGGGATGATGCCTGAACAAAGATGGCGCCGTCCTTTTGTAGAGAAAAGCAGATGAAGGTTCCGTGTCATCCCTGAGCCGGAATCTAAGTCCAGGAATAAATATGGTGTCCTGAACAAATATGGTGCCGTGCTGCTGATAGGAGCAGATGAAGGCCACAAGTGAACCATAAAACAGTGACCTGGGATGATGCCTGAACAAAGATGGCGCCGTCCTTCTATAGAGAAAAGCAGCTGAGCTGGCATCTCAGTCTGGGAAGTAGATGGTGACATGGGATGATGCCTGAACAAAGATGGCGCCGTCCTCCTGTACAGGAATCATAAAAAGCAGATTTGAGAACCGGCATCTCAGAAAGCCGGGAAGTAGATGGTGACATGGGATGATGCCTCAACAAAGATGGTGCCGTGCTGCTGCTTAGAGGAGCAGATGAAGGCAACAAGTGAATCATAAAACCATGACCTGGGATGATGCCTGAACAAAGATGGCGCCGTCCTCCTGTACAGGAAAGCAGCTGAGCCGGCATCTCAGTCTGGGAAGTATATAGTAATCCTGGGTGATGCCTGAACAAAGATGGCGCCGTCCTCTGGTAGAGAGAAGCAGATGAAGGCATCAGGTGAATAATAAAACCATGACCTGGGATGATGCCTGAACAAAGATGGTGCCGTGCTGCTGCTTGAGGAGCAGATGAAGGCAACAAGTGAATCATAAAACCATGACCTGGGATGATGCCTGAACAAAGATGGCGCCGTCCTTCTGTACAGGAAAGCAGCCGAGCCGGCATCTCAGTCCGGGAAGTATATAGTAATCCTGGGATGATGCCTGAACAAAGATGGCGCCGTGCTGCTGGAGAGAGCATGTGAAGGCATTGTTGGGGGGGGGGGGCTGTGATCTCTGATAAATACACGGTAGTGATGGCGGTACAAAGATCACAATCCTGGGAAGGAGGCGGAACCTCTTGATTTTCATGATTAGGATGAGACGACCCCCAAAGCCGGAGCAGCTCTTCAACCGAACAAATCGATTTCTTGGTCTAAACCTCTGTATTCCGGGCCGTCCTCGAAACTTCTCCCACAGAGGTACCGACGTCAGGCTGGGCAGCGCTGCGTTACAGCCGCCAATTACACCATGACATCATTCATTTAATTACAAAGGTTTCCTAACATGGAGAGAAAATAACAGTCTGGAGTAACTTTTATCTCCGTCTGTCACGGGCGACTCCCAACTCAGAGCGAGGAGTAAAAGAAATTTAAAAAAAAAAAAAAAAAAAAACCTTTTATAAAATCAGCACGACAGTAAAAGCTGCAATACCTCTGATCACCTGACCACACTCAGGGGGCGCCACTGCCAGAGCATTACAACTCAATGAATTACAAAGGATCTGTCCTTGAAGAGGTTGTAGCCGCACTGCTTCACCCGGCCTGTCCGGGATACAATTCTCATCTGCAACAACATTCAAATCTTCACGTTGGCGGGACGGACCGCCTCCTTCTAAGGCTCCATTCATGCCGATGCGCTTTTTTTAGTGTTTGGTTTTTTTTTTTGCCAAAATGCACTGCAGTCCATGTAACAGGAACGTACAATATATATAGTCAGGTCCATAAATATTGGGACATGGACACAATTCCAACATTTTTGGCTCCATACACCACAATGGATTTGAAATGAAAGGAACAAGATGTGCTTTAACTGCAGACTGTCAGCTTTAATTTGAGGGTATTTACATCCAAATCAGGTGAACGGTGTAGGAATGACAACAGTTTACATATGTGCCTCCCACTTGTTAAGGGACCAAAAGTAATGGGACAAGTGGCTTCTCAGCTGTTCCATGGCCAGGTGTGTGTTATTCCCTCATTATCCCAATTACAATGAGCAGATAAAAGGTTCCAGAGTTCATTTCAAGTGTGCTATTTGCATTTGGAATCTGTTGCTGTCAACTCTCAAATGAGATCCAAAGAGCTGTCACTATCAGTGAAGCCATCATTAGGCTGAAAAAACAAAACAAACCCATCAGAGAGATAGCAAAAACATTAGGCGTGGCCAAAACAACTGTTTGGAACATTCTTAAAAAGAAGGAACGCACCGGTGAGCTCAGCAACACCAAAAGACCCGGAAGACCACGGAAAACAACTGTGGGGGATGAGCGAAGAATTCTTTCCCTGGTGAAGAAAACACCCTTCACAACAGTTGGGGATCAAGAACACCCTCCAGGAGGTAGGTGTATGTGTGTCAAAGTCACCAATCAAGAGAAGACTTCACTTGTTAAGGGACCAAAAGTAATGGGACAGAATAATAATCATAAATCAAACTTTCACTTTTTAATACTTGGTTGCAAATCCTTTGCAGTCAATGACAGCCTGAAGTGTGGAACGCATAGACATCACCAGACGCTGGGTGTCATCCCTGGTGATGCTCTGCCAGGCCTTTACTGCAACTGTCTTCAGTTCCTGCTTGTTCTTGAGGCATTTTCCCTTCAGTTTTGTCTTCAGCAAGTGAAATGCTCAATCGGATTCAGGTCAGGTGATTGGCCATTGCAGAACATTCCACTTCTTTGGTGTCTTTTGCAGTCTGCTTTGGGTCATTGTCCATCTGCACTGTGAAGCGTCCAATGAGTTGTGAAGCATTTGGCTGAATATGAGCCGATAATATTCCCGAAACACTTCACAATTCATCCGGCTGCTTCTGTCAGCCGTCACATCATCAATAAATACAAGAGAAGCAGTTCCATTGGCAGCCATACATGCCCACGCCATGACACTACCACCACCATGATCACTGATGAGGTGGTATGCTGAGGACCATGAGCAGTTCCTTCTCCATACTCTTCTCTTCCCATCACTCTGGTACAAGTTGATGTCGGTCTCATCTGTCCATAGGATGTTGTTCCAGAACTGTGAAGGCTTTTTTACATGTCGTTTGGCAAACTCTAATCTGGCCTTCCTGTGTTTGAGGCTCACCAATGGTTTCCATCTTGTGGTGAACCCTCTGTATTCACTCTGGTGAAGTCTTCTCTTGATTGGTGACTTTGACACACATACACCTACCTCCTGGAGAGTGTTCTTGATCTGGCCAACTGTTGTGAAGGGTGTTTTCTTCACCAGGGAAAGAATTCTTCGCTCATCCACCACAGTTGTTTTCCGTGGTCTTCCGGGTCTTTTGGTGTTGCTGAGCTCACCGTGAGTTCCTTCTTTTTAAGAATGTTCCAAACAGTTGTTTTGGCCACGCCTAATGTTTTTGCTATCTCTCTGATGGGTTTGTTTTGTTTTTTTTTCAGCCTAATGATGGCTTCACTGATAGTGACAGCTCTTTGGATCTCATCTTGAGGTTGACAGCAACAGATTCCAAATGCAAATAGCACACTTGAGGTGAACTCTGGACCTTTTATCTGCTCATTGTAATTGGGATAATGAGGGAATAACACACACCTGGCCATGGAACAGCTGAGAAGCCAACTGTCCCATTACTTTTGGTCCCTTAACAAGTGGGAGGCACCTATGCAAACTGTTGTAATTCCCTACACCGTTCACCTGATTTGGATGTAAATACCCTCAAATTAAAGCTGACAGTCTGCAGTTAAAGCACATCTTGTTCGTTTCATTTCAAATCCATTGTGGTGTATAGAGCCAAAAATGTTAGAATTGTGTCCATGTCCCAATATTTATGGACCTGACTGTATATCCCGGATGTAGATACAATGTATATATATATATATGTCCCGGATGTAGATACAATGTATATATATATATATGTCCCGGATGTAGATACAATGTATATATATATATATGTCCCGGATGTAGATACAATGTTATATATGTCCCGGATGTAGATACAATGTATATATATATATATATGTCCCGGATGTAGATACAATGTAGATACAATCATGTGGATCATGGAAGGATGGTCACTGATGAAGACAGAGCCGACCTGATGAAGCCCCCACAACGCTACAAAGTATCAGAATCCCAGAAGTAAACAATAAATAAAACACCAAAACTGATCCCCATCCAGCCCATTAATGGGAAGAAATACCGGCCAATCATCTCCGAGAATTCTAATCATGTTTACACAATAA